TAAGATCTCCTCTAACAAAAACAACAAACATTGGGATTCTAGTAGTTTTAGAATTCTTCATTTAGCCTTAGCAGAATATTAAACAACACCAGTGGGTTTATTATAACATTTCATTTAAAACAAACAAACAAAAAACAACAAAAAAACAACCAAAAAACTCCCCATTTTAATAGATGTGTGTTCTGCATGTATGGCTGAGTGAGGGTTGGAAAGGAGATCTTCATTAACACCTTTCTACATTTAAAATTATTCCTCTCTGCTCTTTTTAGCAATTATTAATTAAAATTTGTGGTAATTTATCCAATGTATTGAGGATTTGATGGCGCATTTTCATTTGAAGAATAAAATGCGGCAAATTATCTGGTAACACCTATTAGTAAAATCAAGGAAATAAAAACTTGTCTTCTTTAATCTTTTGAATGTTGTAATTGAAGAAAAACACAAGGGCTCAAATGGGAGCCTAGAACCATTTAAGCCATCAGTTTCACTACTGAAATTATAGGTTTCACTACTTTGTACCTGTATCAAGATTACTAACATTACACAATTACCAAATTTGAACCACTTAAACAGAACTTGGAGGAGGTACTCATGTCTAAAACACAAGTGACATATGCTTGATTTAGAATACTAGAGTGTCGTTTCCTTATTCATCTCCACTTTATGTACAAATCGGCTTACTTTTATTTCTACACAAGTGTTCTTACCAAAGGTCTCCTTTACAATGAGACCTCATTTGAACTCTCAACCATGCCACCCTCCCCTGGTATACAGGCCCCAAGCTTCACCCAGATGTCTAAATATTGCCAAATTTTTTGGGCACCAGAAAAGCCAGGCCAACTTTCCAGAGATGGGAATGGTCTTAGCTGGATGCAGAAACTTACAGTATCTAGGGAAGAAAAAGTAATGAGATAACTATCTAAATAATGCATATACAGTGAATAATACATGTTACTTTTCTTGCATTATGTAAATACATTTATATTAAAAATCCCACTATCCAGATAGTTAAAAAAAAAAAAAAACTTTGGAAAAAAGTTAATAAAATTGATAGGAGAAATAAAATTTATTAAAAAAATTAATAAAATTTGAGAATAGTCTGTATTTCTTACTATAGATAGTAGAGATGTGGAGATTAATCTCTTTTTATAGCAGATCTCAATCATGTGCAAAAATGTACTGACTAGTAAAAGAAACACCCATGGTCTTATCACTCAGCTTTAACAATGGTCAATTCATAGCTAACCTTTCAACCACTCATTGATCTACCCAATCCCTCCCTGTCCACCCATCCCATTCCCTGTGCCCCATGTGCCTTGGATTGCAAAGAAAATCCTAGGCATTGTATCATTTAATCTACAAATATTTCAGTATGGATTCAAAAATAAGGGCTCTTTAGCAACATCACTGTATCATTATAACATACATACAATGAAATGTAATTCTTAATTTCATCAAATACCAGGCCAGTATTGAATTTTCTTGGTTGTCTCAAAAGGTTTGTTTGTTTCAAACAGAATCCAAATACAATCCATACATTGCAACTGATTAATAACTCGTAGGTTTAATTTATATCCAAAGTGGATTTTTGATTGCAAGATACTGGAGGCCCAGAAAAATAAATAAATAAGAAAGTAAGATTTTGAATTTTTGATAGAAAGCACAGATATTTTCTGAGTTATTTGCATGGACGATAGTCTTATTCAGCCACAAGAAAAAGAAACTAAGAAGCCCTAAATAGTGTATAATATAGGCATCTTTAGGATTTGGTTTGGTATCATGAGGCTTTTTTTTTTTTTTTTTTTTTTAGGAAGTAAAAGTGTCTCTGGCTTATGCTCAGTTATGCTTTGTGACTAAAAATCTCAGTACTGGGGTAGTCTAATGGATGTTAATGTAAACTGGCTTTTTTTCTTGAGTGTCTGTGCATTTTTTGGGTAAGTGTTTAGAGGTTTAGCTAACTAAACTATGTATCATCCCAGTAAGCTGTAATGTGTTAGTGGCTATATTATCCTATCGAGATGGTATGGGCAACCGTTCATGTTCTCTTAGCTAGTTGGTGCCTGACAAGAGTGGGAGGTGGTAGTCTTAAGGAAGAAAGTAGCACAGGTAAACACAAGCGAAAACTGTTGTGTTTTTGGAGCTGATAAAAAAGCAGAGACTTTTAAGCCTGGAATATTTTCTTACTACTCATTCATTTTAATATTGACAAAGGAATGTATCATTTCACTTAGGAAAATGACTACATTAATTCATACTTTGAAGATGGAGATGATTTTGGCGCAGACAGTGATGACAACATGGATGAAGCAACCTATTAGGCATGAAATTTTTCAAAAAATATTTTTATGACGCAGCTTCTGAACATTTGGACAGACTTGATTTGTATTTTGTCTCTGATGAGGAACAAACATTTATTTTTGTTTTGTTTTGTTTTGTTTTGGACAAATATTTGTTACCAAAATATTCAAAACCACTTTGAGTTTACATACTAGTTACCTTACAAATTAGTCCCTGACATTCTGACATTCCTTCTAAACACCTCTGCCATCTCTCTCACGTACTCTCATGGATTTTTTTTATTATTATTTGAATATGAATGTGCCTAAAGAATTTTTGCTCTATTATAATCTATGTATATGTACTTGAAGAAATCATTCTTGCTTAACTGCCGATCTTTTGTAAAACTACTGCTAGTCATAATGGATTTCTATAACCTGAAAGTTGATATAATACAGCACATGGAGCACTTTAAAAACAAAGAAACTTGAAAATAATTTTATTTTTTACCTTTACATGGTGTGTTCTAGACTACTGCATTATGACTACATAAACCTACCTGAGCTCTTACAAGTACAGAATTGTGAGATAGAGATTTTGTGATGGAAAACATACACACAGGGAAAAATACCAAACTGAGCAATATAAATGTCACAACTCACATCTTAGCCAGTACAAAGAAACTCTCACATGGGGTGAATATTATAAATACTTGAATTTGGGACTAACTTAATACTATATGATATATGAATTAATCATCTCACTGTAATAACTGACATCTTCAAATAGTTGGGCTTATGAAAAATTTGACTAAGACATTTTATTTAATTTTATATTTTATGTAAATGTGAAGTAAGTTCTGGTCATATAAATATCATGTAGAATGCATGTGTGTGAACTCTATGAAGTGTGGTGGCCTTTTATGTTTCAGAGTACTCAAGCTGTACAATTGATTTATATAAAAATGCAAAGTGAACTCAGGTCATTTTGAAATTAAGATTAATTTTTTTGTTGTTTAACTTCAAAGCTAGCTCTCTTAACTTTATATTTTGGGAAAAATACCCAAAAACCTGAGCCTACAAAGACTCTCACAAATGCCAAAGATTTTCAAGGAAATTCATATTATATATTTCAAAAATGATTTATCAATGTTATCTACCAAAAGAAATAATTTTATTTTTCCCTTTTGGGAAGATATTATCCTCTAATGTGAGAATCAGATCCCTAGATTCTGTTTCTACCTGTACTATTAAACTCAACCTTGAACCTGAGCTTGGTTGTTTCTGTGCCTTAGTTTCTCTACTTGTAAACAATTTCCTATAAAAATTGTTTAAACACCAACCAAAATTTACCATATGTATTCATTCTCTTGCCTTAAAGATCTGTTCTTAATTTACATTTGGCCCTCACCCTCTAAAAATTTGTAGTTTGGAGAGTAACTGAAAACACAATTTTAAGAAACATGTTTTCCTCACAAAATATAATCTTATTTTCCTATCTTGTATTCATGCAGAAAATTGGAGAAAATGTGTATTGTCTTGCGCCATTTTGCAACATGAATTTCTCAGGAAAAAGATCACTTTCAATGGCAATACTTTCTTAAATAATTCAAGATGGGTGTGAGGACCTATCTTATTAGTTTAGAGCTGTGTTAACCATTTGTGAATTACTTCTTGTTTAAAGGAAGTTGTCAAAAAATTTTTAAGATTCTAAATGGAATATATGAATAAAGTAAGCCGTAGAATAGAAACCTCACAAAAAGTTGTCATTTGCGGTTGGTAATTAACATAGGTGTTTTATTCTTTCAACTCCTTAGTACGAGAGCCAAATACCATTTAGTTCTCGGAAATCTTATCAATATTGTTCTGTTTACTTACTTATTATAAATCTGCAGATAACCACTTGAACCAGGCAAATACACTGAAGATAAAGGTTATTTCTTTTTTTAGCTTTGAATTTGTCATGACCGTTTTAATCTTGCAGATAGTAGGGCAGCCCCTTGGGGCAAGGATTTACTCTGGGAGGTACCAGCCATACCCTTTAAGAGCCTTCTTTCCCCCTTTGAAAGATCTTTTTACAATGTTAAAGTATAGTAGTTGTGAGAACAAGCAGGATTTGCAGGTTGCTTTACCAGTATGAATCTCATTTTTCTGGCTTAAAATCTGAGACTGTGAAATTATTCCATAGGAAAGTGAATGTTATTTTGCAGAATTAGCCTGTTACATAAAAGTATTTGTTGAAGTGTCTTTAAAATTGCTATCATGAGCAAAACTGTTTGGTTGCTGTAATGCTTATTTTTCTGTATTTATTTACACATTAAATTCTTACAAAATTGCGTTCGTTTTATAGTAAGATATTTTGTTTTGAACTTATTTAAATGTTTATTTGGCAGAGAAAACTAATTTGTTAATACAGATCTTACCTAGTAACTATCTATTAAGCAGGAATGCTTGTTCCAAATATTCTTGAATAAACAATCACCACAAACAACAAAACTCTGGGTAATGATTATTCAAAAAAGTTGTGAGATGGGCATGCTGGTCTGTGCCTATAAGTCCCAGCTACTCGGGAGGCTGAGGTGGGAGGACTGTTTGAGCTCAGGAGGTCAAGGCTTCAGTGGGCCAAGAGGAAGCTGAGGTGGGAGGACTGCTTGAGCCCAGGAGGTTGAGGCTTCAGTGAGCCAAGACGGCAACACACACACACACACAGTTATGACAACAAACTTAAGAGATTTGGCAGACAATATAATTTAGTGTGATCATCCGTGCTTGGGCTGACTTATACTGGATACCAGAGAATGTTAAGACATTCAGAAGATTCTTGTTAAACTTTTGACTTCACTACCTTCAAATGTACAGTGTCCATGGAGATTCTTGTTAAACTTTTCACTTCACTACCTTCAAATGTACAATGTCCATGGCTTTGCTTTTACATGGTTAAAATCTCAAGCCTGTGTGGTAGCATGTGCCTGTAGTCCCAGCTACTTGGGAGGCTCACATGGGAGGATCAATTGGCCCCAGGAGCTCGAGGCTGCAGTGAACCATCATGCCACTGCACTTCAGCCTGGGCGACCAAGCAAGAGTCTGTCTCAGAAAAAAAAAAGAAAAAAAAAATTAAAAAATAAAACCCCTGTAGTAAAAATTTCCATTTTATTTAAAAAATACAATTTTAAGATCAAGATGCATTTGAAAATGGGAAAAAGAAAAAAACAGGGTTTATACACATTCCTCCATTAAATAAAAGCTCCAAAGACTTTTCTCAATTTTTCTGCTAAGAATCTTTTAAACAGTATTCTTGAGGTTGTTTTATAATAAATTAAAACTACATATAAATAGAGCAGGTTATAATCTGTAGATAATGACTCATCTACAACTTCATAGAAATTCCTGGACCATGCCTTACCAGATCTTACCCTGAGGAAAATCCCCCAAAGAACATTCATCTAAAATGTTTTATCTATGTCTTAGAGATAATCCAGGGTATTCTGCCTCACTGTAGCAAACAGGAAATCTGAATTGGTAAACCTCTGGCAATTTGCTGTATCTTACATAATATCTCTGTATTAGTTTAAGAGTAGAGGAGAAAAGCTTTGCTTTATTCAATTAAATTCACTGGCTTCCATTTTAGATTGAATAATAGAAACTTTATTACATGTTACAGATCTTTCAAAATATGAAAAATAAGGGGCAAAAAATTTTAAAAACATTTTACAGATGTACATGCTAACATAATGTTCTAGTTACATTTGTATAAAATACATTATACAAAAGATTTATAGATTTTACATACATAAAAATTAAAGCATTCAGATATTTCTATGATCTAACAGTGCAATATGCACATACGTGGAAGAAAATACTGATTACCTGAGCAACATTTTTGTAATTCAAATAAAAAATGAATCCCATCAATGCACCATTTAAATACAGACTTTAAAAGACTCCACTTTTATCCTGTAACACTGACTAGATCCTTGCTTCATGATATTTCTAAAACTAAGCGTATCCTTCATATTTCCAACTAGGTAATTTTAGAAGTAAATACTTTAAATAAAAAAGAACTAATTACTAAGTAGTGGTTCATTTAAAAAAAAACTTCAGGACACTGAGCCAAGCAGGTAGAGTCCAGCAAAAGAAAAGCTGTAAATAAAAAGTCCTTTGGAGAAGATAATTTAACATGAGTCTTCTAATTTTTAATGTGGCCAGCAGAGTCTATAACCACTTTTAACATACCTTTTGAAAACAGGAACCCCATAACTTCCTAGGAGTGGGATAGCAATTTTATTTTAACCCAGACTTCACAAAACTATCAGCTTTTTCTTTACTTGCTAACTCCAAAATTTTAAGTGAACCAAATGCAGTAATTCTGCTGTTACTTTTACATTGCATACAAGTGCATGCGTGCACACATGCAGACACACACACAGGCCACATGTAAAGCAGCAGATTCAAATAAGGGTGTCAACACAATTAAAATCACAATGTTAAACAATAACTGTGCTTGTTAATTAGTTATACAAGGTAATTTGCATTTGATACAAACTTAACTTACATTAGTACTTTTTAGAAACTAAAATTATTCCAAATGTTTTAAATGCTTAGAAAATTCTTTTCTAAACGGATAAGAACTGTAATTCAATAGGTAACCTTTATACAGAATTATATGTAACTCAAATTATATTCAATTAATTCAAAAATATATAATTTAAATATAGAAAAAAGAAAACTACCTGATGTGTTATAAGGATGTATATTTCCTTCAAAAAAGGATACTCTGCAAGACAAATGGTTTTTAATCAACAAATACACAGCACACCTTATTCCTTTAAAAATAAATAACATATTTTGGAAATCGAACCCATAACAATTTCAAAGTACAACTAGCAAAAAGGTAAGGAATCACTGACTGTAATTTCATCAATTTGATGTAAACAAAGTTCTTCAAAGGACACCTGGCCTGTTTACCCTAAAATAATCTGCATTTTCTTCCTTAAAACCTCATTTTTCAGCAGGCTTAATAAATACAATGTAAACTGACCAGTTAACACTGAGCATAAATTATATCACACTCTTCCTTTCAAGATGCCCAAGGCACATTAAAACTATTTTTTAAATGTTTAATTTGCTAAGAGAACCAATTTGTAACTTCCCTATTAAATACTTGTTGGTAATTGGCTAAGGTCCTCTAATATTTGCAAAGGCTTTGTTTGACTTCTTTGTCCTGTCTTTTCCTGATGGTCTTCTGAAAGTACATAAAACTCCACTTGCCATAAATACTTATTCCAACTGAAATTTGAAATATATAAAATGACTTATCAAAAGCCTGAAACATCAACAATTAGGAAATAATGCCCAGAAAACGAGGTGGTATTATATATCTTAAGTATATATTATATACAAAACAGGCAATCCAGACTCCACCAAATCTCATTTCTATTGAAGAATCATTCTGGTTACATTTTTAGAACACATACTTTTAAAGATTAAATGATGGAATCAGTATGCAAACGCTTCTTCCTTAGCCAGACTATAGCCGACTCAACAGATCTTAAAAACAGGCACTATCGGCCAGGCGCGGTGGCTCAAGCCTGTAATCCCAGCACTTTGGGAGGCCGAGGCGGGCGGATCACAAGGTCAGGAGATCGAGACCACAGTGAAACCCCGTCTCTACTAAAAATACAAAAAATTAGCCGGGCGCGGTGGCGGGCGCCTGTAGTCCCAGCTACTCAGGAGGCTGAGGCAGGAGAATGGCGGGAACCCGGGAGGCGGAGCTTGCAGTGAGCCGAGATCGCGCCACTGCACTCCAGCCTGGGCAACAGCGTGAGACTCCGTCTCAAAAAAAAAAAAAAAACAAAAAAAAACAAACAGGCACTATCACGCCCTTTCAAGCAATCTATACACCTTTGGCCTTTGTTTCCCAATTTGATGCTATATGTATAGTTCAGGAAAAAAGTCTAAATTGGGTATTTTCTCTTTGAAAACAGAGGTTAAGGGATTACTAATTTGTCTGTTACAGTTAATATAAAAGACCTCTACTCATTTTTGCCTAATGAACCGTTTTCTTCAACAGACCTCAGACAGTTTTGACCCAATTATTTGTGCTTGATGGTGAAAATGGAGACAAATTTATATAGCCTATGTAACGCATCTGACTGGACCATCTGAAATAATGCTTAATTTTAATTCTGAAACTTGGATTTACTTATATAAAGCAGTAAGGCATTAAATATAATTAAGACATGTTACTGTATGTAACAGCAATGATTTATCACAGTATGTAAGGAATTATTTCTTAAATAATGGTAATATGTACATGTTTAACATTTTTCATCATCAAAACTACAAAAGTGCTTTCAAATATCAGAGACAAATATAATCATTTTAAAAACAGATGCACAGAGGTGAGGTTAAAGGGTCTGTCCTAAAGAAAGCATTCTTAAGACAAAAATTACTGTCAGGTCTTCACCTATTCCAGTGTTCTACTGACTTCCCAACCATAATACATTATTTTGGGGTCTTGAAAATATTTTAATCTATTTCTTGGCCTCTGTTGTAGGAATTATAAATCACTTTCCCCTTTCTCTTTGTATGTATGCTTTCATAGTACATGTGCTAAATGTAATTTTTAAAGGTTTTGAAGTGGTGTGTTACGTATGCTACCATGAATAATTTTAGAATCAAAATTTCTTGCAACTGAATATTTTGGGGGTTCATAGTAGTAAATTTTTTTCAGCTGCAGATAACTGATGCTATCATTCTGCATCATAAATTTAACATTAATAAACTTTTTAAAAATTACCTAAAAAAAAAAATTTAAACATACATCTTAAGAAAAATGATACATCTTCCAAGTTAAGAACTTCCTAAACACACGTTTAAATTAATTTCTGCTTGAAACATTGACACACCAGATTTATGGATCAACTGCTCTCAACATCAACTAGTTGCTCAAAAAATGTTCAAAGTGTGAAATCCTTTTGTTAAAAACAAAAGCATCTCAATCTCTTTAAATTCTGCCTTTGAAGTGATTATTGGATATAACTGATTCACCACATTCCAGATGCACATGTGACTACTAACGTTTGATTACGAACTAATTGCTATGTTTCGTGTTGAGCAGCAGGTGACTGAGAATCTTGACTATACAGTTTATTATCATCTTGTTGGCCGAAATGTATTCCTTTAGTTGGCACAATTCCATTTTCCATTTCTCTCTGCTGTGATGGGGGTGTGATTTTTGAATGTAAATGTGAAGAGTCCACTGTTGAATGATGACTAACATCCACCTTAGCTAAAATTTCATAATACAACAAATAAAACACTGGTGTTATTATACCTACTATCAACATTATCACAACAGCTGTCCACCACCCTATTCCCCAGTCTGCTCCATAATAGGGATCTTTACGTTGAGTGTTTTTGTTATCAGGTTCAAAACGTATTTGTTGTGCTGTTAAGGCCGATACTACCTCATTGAGGTTCTCTCTCTTATTGTCTGTACACTTTACTATTTGTTCTATGTCTCGGTCTACTTCTTTTAAAAAGCTACCAGCTGAGTCACTGTAAGCAAGAGAATCATTAGCTGGCAAAATTTCCTGTTGTCCGGAAGAGTATTGAACAGATGAATGACGTGAAGTCTGTCTTCCTTTTGGAGGACAAAGTGTTTCGGTCAAGGAACTGAACTTTTTTACTGGAATTTTGATAGACCTAAGGGCAAAAAAGTCTTGATCACTGATGAGATTGTTAACTCTCTTGATATCTGCTACCTGTAAAAAAAAAAAAAAAAAAAAAAAAAAAGCAACATACAACTGAATTCTAAATCAAAATAAAGATAGCAATAGTCATTCATCCTAGTTACTTTTGGAGGAAAAAAAAAAGTTGAACTTAATTATTAGTAGTATTAAGTTGCACCCAGAGAAATTTTAATTTTAGTTGTAGATGAGAATTCTACACCACTTTAGATCTACCAATCTTAGGAAATCACTACTTTCTACTATCACCCACATATATTTGTAACACTAATTAATGCTATTTAAGTAAATCCTAGAATCCTTTGCTGCTTCCCTTTGTGCATCATGCATAAATACCACAGTCCTTCTACTTGTAAACAATTTGTGAAGGAAGGATTATGGGTAGTTATCTTCTTTATTCCCATTTGGAAACTGGAATATAGACAAATGCTACCCAACTAAAACTACCATATTTTATCAAAACTAAGATGCCATAACTCTTAAGATGCAGCATTATTTTATGTATATCTAGGGGGAAAAAAAAGCTTCACCAAAAATTGAAGACGCCACCATTCCAAAAAAAGATGCTAAAATGTGTGGAAAAGCATATATACCTTAGAATTTAAAAAACTGGTAATTTATCCCCCTTACTTCTGAAGCCATTTCCACTCCCCCCCCCCACAAACTTCTCAGTGTAAATGCATTATTCAACTACCTTCAAGACTAATCACATAAGCTTTTTCTCTATATGTTATCTATTCCTCAACCTGTTTGTATTATCCCATCCACTCTGAGATAACCTGTCTGTACATCCTATTCCACTGTGTTGGGGGAAGAGGGGAGTGTCTGGCAGATTACCAATTGGTATGCCAGGTTCTCCCACCATCTATTAGTCCCATTCATTTCCATCAATGCTTTAATCTAAAACCTAATCATGTTACACCTGATTGATGTCAGAGAGATAAAGATAAAGCTTCTAGTATGAAGCTTAGATTTCTGGTTTGGTCAACTTGAGGGATGATGGCATTCATTAAGAAATGGAACACTGTGGAGGGTAAGAAGAGGATGAATGCAAATTTTAGACATGCTGACTTGGAGCTGCTTGAGATACACAAGTGGAAGATGTTCAGGACAGAGTTGTAGATATATGTCTGAAACTCAAGAATGATCTCAGCTGGAGACACAGATTTGTGGACTATCAGCAAAAATATAATTGAAGTCGGCCAGGCATGGTGGCTCATGCCTGTAATCCCAGCATTTTGAGAGGCCGAGGCAGGTAGATCACTTGAGGTCAGGAGTTCGAGACCAGCCTGGCCAACATGATGAAACCCCATCTCTACTAAAAATATAAAAATTAGCCAGGCATGGTGGTACGTGCCTGTAGTCCTAGCTACTCGGGAGGCTGAGGCAGGAGAATTACTGGAACCTGGGAGGTTGTGGTTGCAGTGAGCAGAGATTATGCCACTGCACTCCAGCCTGGGCAACAGAGCAAGACTACATCTCAAAAAAAAAAAAAAAAAAAAAAAAGTAATTGAAGTGAAAGAGGTCAAAGAGTAGACAGATTCACTAGAAAAAGCCTGGGAGAAAAAAACAAGATCCCTAAGGAACTCCAACATTTGATGGGTATGCTGAGTAACAGAAATCCACAAAGGAGATGAAGAATGGCCAGGAAGGGAATATACAATAGTGGTTAAAAGCATGGATAACTGGGTTTGAAGCATGGCTTTGACACTTTCTAGCTGTACGGCCTGGGGCAAGTTGTTTAACCTCCTTGCCATTAAGTTTCCACACCTGCAATAAGGCAGTAATAATACTACCTACATTATAGGGTTGAGGTGAACATTAATGATTTAAATTTTGCAGGACACTCAGAACAGTGATATATAGTATGCCATATAAAAGTTAGCTATTATTAAATGTTAACAGTAGGAAAACCAGAAACCTGAAAATTCAAGGTGGTCAAGCAGAGAGGGTCTTTATGAGGGAGTAGTGAACAGAATCAACTGTAGATTCGTGATCAAGTACAATGAAGACTAAAAGAGGTCAAGCTGGAAAAATTATCTTGCAGTGTATGTGTGGGGGGATTAGAAAGAAAGGGTTGAACAATAACTAAAAGATGAAACAGTAAAGATAAAGGGTGTTTTATCATCTTACTACCTTCACACTGTTTTGTCTTACAGCAAATGAAGATTCACTGACAAATCCCAAAGTTTGACCCCATTCTCTTTAAATGCTCTTTTGCTTGGTATTGTGTACTCCTACTAATCTACTTAATACTCTTTTTGAATTAGGGTTCCAAGGTTTAGTATCTACCTAAGTTATCTCTCTGAATATCCCTATAATGATTTCTATGCTATGCCAACTTCCTTGGTTGCATTCAAGATTCCAACCTTGGACTTTTTATTCTTCTCATCAGTTGTATAACTGACAGATTTTTAATAATTCTTAAGATTATTTCTAAGTGGAATATACCACTAACTACTTACTGTATTTTTTAAATGATAAATCCTTTTATAATACATTTTTTAATTTTTTTGTTGCTCATGCTCCCATCAAAAAGATGCACTGCTTATCTTAACTAATTCTGTTCATCACCTTTCCCACTATAGTGGCCGATATGGTTTGGGTATGTGTCCCCACCCAAATCTCATGTCATCTTATAATCTCCAGTGTTGGAGATTGGGCCTGGGGAAGGTGATTGGATCATGCAGGTGGATTTCCCCCTTGATAATGTCCTGAGTTCTTGTGAGATCTGGTTGTTTAAAAGTGTATGAAACCTCCTCTCTCACTCGCTCTTCCTCCTGCTCCAGCCATGTGAAAATGCCTGCTCTGGCTTTGCCTTCTGCCATGAGTAAAAGCTCTCTGAGGCCTCCCCAGAAGCAGATGCTGCCTGCTTTATGTAAAACCTACAGAACCAATAAACCTCTTTTCTTATAAACTACCCAGTCTCAGGTATTTTTTTATAGCAATGTGAGCACAGACTAATACAGAAGCCAATGCCATCTCTCCATTAATGTTAAGCACTTTTCATCATTCTCACTTCACATAAGCAATCAGCTGATATATCCTGTGATTTTCCCCAATACATTTTTTAACACTTCTTTATCCTTATCACAAATATTTTAGTCTAAGTCCTGATCATCTTTATTATTCTAGTAATCTCTTTATTGGATCCCCTTCAATTCATCAGCAGGCCCCTCTGTTGTTCTGCATCAATCCTGTTAAAACCCTACAATAACTGTATTCTCTTACTATATGGATCAAACTTTTCCATTCTGTATCACTCCTGTTAAAATCTTACAATACGTATTCCCTTACTGTATGGATCAAACTTTTCCTCAGTGTCTCAAAGCATTTCATCCCAAATAGTCTGTGCCACTCATTTCTGAAATACCTACAAAAATTCCCTTTGTTGTTTACCATATTTCCTCCTTGAAATCTTTACATCACTGTTGAATGCCTGAAACATCTTTGTACCTCATTGGAAATATGACCTATTTTTAATTATTCAGATGGTATGTTAAATTTTCCTAAGATAATTTTCTAGGTTCATTAAAAGAAAGCTAGTATCTTATAAAACCTCTGAACCACAAACTCTCCTCTTGGATCTGTACCTTGATGTTTTTAGCCTTGTCTCTCATTTTGAAGTCTATTCCACCATCTACCTTCTATGACATATTCTGTAATTTATTTATCAATGGTCTTTTCTCTACAAAACATTTACTCACATATTTATTTACATTTAGAAATAAACTTAGATATATTGTGATGTAATAATGGCAAGAATTGATGTTGCCATACATGAGCAAGGTAGGAGGAAAAAACTACCCAGCTCTTTTACATCAAAAAAATTCATTTTAATAAAATATTTTATTAAATTTTAAAATCAAAATTTGTAATGTTTTGATGAATTGTGAATTGTAATAAGAAATGTGAATTATTGCAATAGTTGCAAATGTAGAAAAAAATACAACCTCATGACCATAATTTTTTTAGAATATAAATATATATAAATACATTTATATAATATAAACTTATAGATGTGTGTTCCTATTGGAGAGAAGTATTACAGGTAGTCAATAAGAGGTTTTTCAAGTATAAAAATACTTTACATCATGAAAAATTTGGGGGGAAGATGAAAATATTAATGAGAAAAAGGGATGATATAAAATCTCATGCTATTAATAAAAGAGCTCTCATATACACACTTTTCACTTTTTAAAAAAATACAAATTTCAGGTAGCAAATCCTGGAAGTACTTAGAATTCTGTGGATGCATTTAAAGAGCACTCTAATAGTCTTATTTTTAAATGTTAATACAACATTCTGAAAATTATACACTTTGTAACTATTTTAAGTCATGAGGAAGAATTTAAGTTCACTTAAAAAGGTGCGAGGAGGTACACAGTACATATATTTCAAAATTCTGTTGGGAGTATAAGAACAAAAAGTTTGAAACAAAATATTCTAACCAGTTTCCATATCAATGTGTATATAAAAATATCCTGCTAAGGCCTCAAGATGGACATAATAACACAGAAAAAGGGTCCAAATAGAGTACAGTATCTATTAAAATTAAAAATACACCATTCCTCTTATCTGGCAATCCCACTTTTGGGATCTATCCCACAGAAATAAAGGCACTGCCATTTAAAGATACAGTTGTGATGATATTTGCCACATAAGGTAAAACACCAAGAAAGTCCTGAGTATTAATTAATAGGGCAATGGCTTAAAAATACTGGAACATTGATACTACAGACATTATACAACCATTTAAAATAATAAGTTAGATCTATAAGGCTTTGAGGGATGGTCATGAAGGTGTCCATGATACACTAAAAAATGAAAAATGCAAGTTGCAGAGTAAAATGCGATACAATCCACGTTTAAAAATACAAAGATTAGTAACTCCCCAAAACATGTATATATAAATAAATACTTATGAGCACAAAAAAAGGTACAGGAGCATGCCAAAGTGTTAACACTGGTTATCTCAAGAAATTGGGACAGGGAAAAACTTTTCCTTATACATTTCCACATTTTTTTTACCACTTGAATAAGAAGATAACATAGTTAAGTGTTGATTTCAATACTGAAATCCGTGGATTTGGAAATACACAGAAATTCAAGTATTTGTTAAAATTTTAAAAAGTAAACATTTACAAATGTGACACAGACACAGATTTTTCTCTTTTTTTTTTTTTTTTGAGACGGAGTCTTGCTCTGTTGCCCAGGCTGGAGTGGAGTGCAGTGGTGGGATCTTGGCTCACTGCAAGCTCCACCTCCTGGGTTCATGCCATTCTCCTGCCTTAGCCTCCCAAATAGCTGGGACTACAGGCGCCTGCCACCACGCCCGCCTAATTTTTTTGTATTTTTAGTAGAGACGGGGTTTCACTGTGTTAGCCAGGATGGTCTTGATCTCCTGACCTCGTGATCCACTTGCATCAGCCTCCCAAAGTGCTGGGATTACAGGCGTGAGCCACCACGCCCAGCCCATGTGATACAGATTTCTATGCAAAAAATAATAAGAGCAAAAAATGGAGAAAGGAATAAACAAGGTAAAAAAGGACATGGAATTTATTTCAGTGTGGGTAAACAAACAATTTCTTATGGATTGCATTATGTGATATTAAAACTTACCGTACAACAGTACTGAAGGGCTATTGCATTTAGTGTATCTCCTTCTTGTATATCTTTTGTTAATACTATAATGTCATCAAGTCTATCTCTTGATGTACTTCTTCGGACCTTCTCTTTTCCTCTGGATCGAAGCTCATACATTTCAGCATCCTCCTCCAACATATCATTGTCTGAACAATTTCCAAATGCATGTACTTGACCACTTGACTGAACTCCTGGAAGAGGAAAACTACGATTCTGATGCCTTCCTGCCATAATGTTAAAATCTAGAGGAAAAAAAAAGCAGAGAAAATTTTGGAATGTAGCTGATCCAACTGACTGACAGCATGTATCGTACATTCAGGAGACAATCTTTTGTTTTTGTTTTAATAGTATTCGTTATTTAAACATTAGGTTTAAGTTTTTTTTTTTTTTTTTTTTGAGACAGAGTCTCGCTCTGTACCCCAGGCTGGAGTGCAGTGGCCGGATCTCAGCTCACTGCAAGCTCCGCCTCCCGGGTTCACGCCATTCTCCTGCCTCAGCCTCCCGAGTAGCTGGGACTACAGGCGCCCGCCACCGCTCCCAGCTAATTTTTGTATTTTTTTAGTAGAGACGGGGTTTCACGTGTTAGCCACGATGGTCTCGATCTCCTGACCTCGTGATCCACCCGTCTCGGCCTCCCAAAGTGCTGGGATTACAGGCTTGAGCCACCGTGCCCGGCCTTTTTTTGTTTTTGAGATGGAGTCTCACTCTGTCACCCAGGCTGGAGTACAATAGTGCGATCTCAGCTCACTGCAACCTTTGCCTCCCAGGTTTAAGTGATTCTCCTGTTTCAGTCTCCCGAGTAGCTGGGATTACAGGTGCCCACCATCATGCCCAGCCCATTTTTGTATTTTTAGTAGAGGCAGGGTTTCACCATGTTGGCCAGGCTGGTCTCGAACTCTTGACCTCAGGTGATCCGCCGACCTCAGCCTCCCAAAGTGCTAGGATTACAGGTGTGAGTCACCACGCCTGGTCTAGGTTCAGGCTTTATAACTGTTAAAGTACAACAAACATATTTGGCAGTGGAGGCAAAGGTATGGGAAGAAGAGGTAATCTCCTCCTCCATTAGATCATATATCACTAAATACGTGGAGTAATTACATACTAACAAAGGCAAATTGCTATTTTTTTTTGGTAAAAATAGAACTTATAAAATTAAACACTATAAAATATTACATTAAATATAATTTATAAATATAAAATCTTAAATTCCCCTTATTCTGAGTATGTGAAGAAAATCAGAGAAATAATTGTGTTATGTATTAAAAACTTGTGACTATACAACTTATAGCTCTGATGGAATCAAAGCACGTTTTACATACACATACACTTTTATGAATTCAAAACTTTCCGGCTTGTTCTGCATTGTAAATTCATTCAGATTTGGAGTATCTTTTGTATTACTTCCTCCTGGACTTCAGTATTTATATTTAGTGCAGATATGCCAGCTATACAGGTTATGATTTTGCTTCCCTGGAAGCCTTTTAGCCAACTTAAGAGTCCTCATCAACTTCAATTGATGGTCCATAAAGGCTGTGAACAGATCTTAGGTCACTGTGTTCATTTATACTTTAGAAAAAGCATTGTAGGGCTGACTGGGAGCTGACCTAAGTTAAAAACATGCATCAATGAATACTTTTTGTTTACTTGCATACTCACTCTCAACTCACCATCATCAAGTTGATCTACTCTCACTAGGAACACAAGAACCTAAAAAACTAATCCCACATTCAGTTTTGGCTTCGTGTTAATTATTCACATAAGAAAGGGAAGATTGCTTTCTGTTCTTGTTGGGAAAGATGGAGAGAAGTAGTAAGAAGCACTTTGGAGATAAAATACTTTGCACTTAAGGTGGTTCAGACATGAAGAGAGGGAGTAAGTTAAGTATCACACCAAGATTTCTGATTTACATAACAAATTGTGGTGCCATTCTCTCAGATATGGAAGAGGAGCTGGGGCAGTAGGTGCATGGCTATGACTATGAATTCCTCTAAGATAGTAAAAAGGAATGGCAAATAGACAAATGGGCTATACAGTCAAATTCAGAGGAAAGGTCTAGGTTAGAAATAAAATTTCATGACCAATCTGCACATAGGTGAAAATGAATCTGTGAGTACATATGATATTACCTAGAGAGTATAGAAAAAGAAAAGAGGGCCCAAGACTGAGCCTTAAAGAAGTCCAACATTCAGTATCTTGGTGAAAGGAAATCAGCCTGAAAATATGGACAAGGAGTGTCCAGAAGAGGGAGAAACCATGGAAGTGTTATGTCATGGAAGCCAAAGCAAAATAACATCTCAAAGACTCACTATTTTTTAATACTATGGATGAGCACCAAGTGAAACAGGAAAAAACAAACAAACAAAAAACAGAAAAGACCAGCTCCAAAAATCTGAGTACATAAAATGGATGACAATAAATTACAAAGGCTGAGGATCCCTAACCCAAAAATCCAAATCTTAAATACTCTGAAATTTGAAATATTGTGAGTGCTGACATGAAGCCACAAATGGAAAATTCCACGTCTTATATTTCAGATTTCAGATTAGGAATGCTAAACCTGTATAGGTATTCTGGTGATGTGCTTAAGTACCCTGAACACATTAGTTTTTCACTGTATTAATGGTATGTCTTTTTTTTTAATTTTATTTTTCCTGTTAAGCGCTTATGTGTGAGTAACTGTAAAAAAATGATTGCTTACTAGTAGCACATAAATTCAGAGTTAGGAATGATGGTAATGCCAAACAACCACAAATTTTCCATAAGGGTGGCTGAGATAGTGACACTTTTGCCTGCTGATGGTTCCAGGTACAAAAACTTTTGTACACGAATTATATAAAATTACCTTCCGGCTATGTGTATAAGTTGAACATGAAACACAAATTTCATGTTCAGACGGGTCCCATCCCCAATATATCTTATTATGTATATGCAAACATTCCAAAATCCCAAGAAATCGGAAACACTTCCAGTCTCAAGCATTCCAGGTAAGGACTACCCAACCTGTACTTTCTATGTAGGCGTATACTTATCATAAAACGCTTTAAAACCATTTAATATAGTTGAATCCAACTCTTGAAAGCCAGTTTCTGACCCTGCTCAAAGGGCAATATTGTAATGCTTTAAAAGCTCAAGATTTCCTATTAAGATAACACAGAGAACTAATAGCTATATGTTAAGTAGATTATTTCAACTGTTCTCTTAAGTGCTACATTACCACCAAGAACTAGGATTCCTAACTTGACAGCTATCAAACTAAAGAAAACTATCACATTTTGTATCTCCAAAGTAGTTTTGAAGTCATGACCACATCTTTTCCTCCAAGGATAACAGTTTTATTTCCACTCATTTAACCAAGTCTTTTTTTAATCTTGTGTCTTTAATCTAGGGAATGTCTATGAACCCTGTAGATTCCAGGCAAATTTTATACATATGTATATTTTTCTGGGGAGAATTTTTATTGCTTCATATTCTCAAAAGGCATCCATGATCAAAAAAGTTAAGACTTAATATACAGCAATTTACACGTGGCTATACCGAACTACTTATGCTGTCCCGTTAGACACTTTCTCCCTAATAATTTGTTCTTAGAACTTAAAAATTGGCTTAGTAGTACAGCTAACTGAAAATCACTAAGCAATGCCCCAAAGCCATTTTAGCTATTTGTTTCTATCAACCTCTCTCCATGATATATTTCTAAATAGTAATTTAAAGGTCAGAACTTCACCTGTCTCACTATCTCTCCACTCCCCTTTATAATGAAATGCAGGCAGCTGGCTATACCTAGTTACAAAACTGGGTATTCTGAATGATCAAGAACTGGCTGTGTCTCCAACCGAAGTGAATAGACAGACCCAGGCAATCACTCCAGTCTACTACTCAGAGATTAGAAAGTACATAATATTTAACTCATCCGGCTCAATTCTATTCACTTCTCTTAATTCTCTTAGTGCAGGAAAAAGGCACGAATTCCCTCTTCAGAAACCTGGAACAAGCCAGCGCGCTACGTAGATTACGAGGGGCCACAAAACAGTGTTAAAGCATTCATCAGCTCAGTCTGTAACTGAAAATGGTTTCCCAAACACCTTCGTACGGTAGAACGGCTGCTGCTGGGTGTTTCGCCTTGACCTTCTTTAAGCAAGAAGCAATAAGAGGGTCACAGGGCACAAGTTAAAGTTGCAAAGGGACAGAATCAAAGGCGCCTTATCCGCTGCCAGGGCCAATTTTATTTTTTAAAACTTAACTTCCTCCCCTCTGTATCGCACGCCTCAAGTTTTTCTTTCCCTGCTATCGTCAGCGAGGATTACGTCTCAGATTCTTCGGTCACGGCATGACACTTAAGCGATGTGACAAGATGCCGTCAGCGAATACTTCACGCCAACATAAAGTTGTGGGAGAAATGCTGTATTTGGGTGGGAAATGAGCTGCCCCCGTAATAAAGCCGGTAGGTGTCCGTCTTCTGAGCCTCAGTTTCCCCGACAGTGTGACAAGAGGGCCTGGCAGGGCTGGTCTGGAAGTTCTTCCCTTTCTCGGGGGTGTCCTCCCTGCGGGCCGAGCCCCGCCCTACAGCACCCACCACACCTGTGGCCGAGGGCTCAGCCCCTCCAGTGAGGACGCAGGTGGGGCCCAACCCCGCCCTCCTGACCGGGCCACCCTCACCTCCTGCCACCACCTTTACCTGTCCTCGTTAGCAGGGGACACGCTGCGACGAGATGACCAAAAGGTCCGTCGCCCCCTCTGTCCCGGGCAAGTTCATGGCCCAGCCTCCGCCTTGGGCTGACCCAGTCCGCCTCCGCCTCTGCCGCCAACGTCTCCGCCTTCCGGGCCGTACGCCGCCGCCACGTCCGCAAACCTGAGGTGCGTCATCGCGTCAAGTGGGCGGAGGTGGGAAGGGGCGGGGGAGGAGGCGGAGGGCAAGCCCAGAACGGGGGAGTCCAACCACAGGTCCACGCCCAGCACGCAGGCGCAGGGACTCCGCAGGGGCCCGGGGGCAGGTCCAATCACCGGGTCCAATCCCCAGCCCTGCCCTTACTTAACTCTTCTCCTTCTTCCCCGTCACCTCACTCCCAGCGGAAAAGATGTGGTGGTCAAGTCAGCAGACCGAACCCGCGACCCCCAGCGACCTACTGGCTGCGTCTTTGTCCAGCGACCACACGGAGCTGGCAGAGACTGTCGGAGGCACACTGAGGACGAGCCGTGGCTCAGGATGTGTCCGGGAGCTGTCTTGCATTTTTTTCTTGCTGTGCATCTCGAATTTTCTTTAGGGTGGGGGAGGACACCTCAAAAGCACTGTTGACATCACAGTTTCAGAAAATTGCACCATGCTTGTTACCCTTTTCATGCTGAAGACTTCAGACTGTTGCCGAAGAAGCAAAATACTGGAGAGAAACCCTTGGGGGACCAAGGACGAGGGTTGGAGGGGGGTTGTTTCAACTTTTGTGTTTTTAGGTGAGGAAAGTGAGCCACCTAGAGTCAGGCCCCAGGAAATGTTTTCCCTGGCTGGAGGAGTCAAGGGAGTCAACAAATTGTAATGTAACTTATTTTGGTTTGAAAATTAACTGAGTCATTGGTAGTCACCATTGGACTCTATGAGCTGTTAGCTTGTTAAATAACAAACTCATGACTTCATACATGATTTTTATCACAAATGTATTAAATGAGTATGATAATGTGTTTGAATTTATGTATTTGAATAGCAAAACCCGCAATTACTTTTGCACCAACCTAATGAATGTAAAGCATTTTAATGAATCTGATGTCTCTCAGTGTTGACATTAGAGATGTTGCACTTTGACGACCATGCTAACTGTTACGACAATACCCATTTTAGGCACAAATAGCTGGGGTGCAGGGTGCACAGCAGTGCTTTTCAGAATGTCTGAATATTTATACATTAGAAAGCCTTTGAAGCTTGGTTTTAAATTGTTTTTCAAAGGGTATGTTTTTGGTTTTCTGGTAAGTGCCTCTGCAAAGGTTAGGAGTTTTGCATTGCAATAGTTTTCTTTTATTTGCAGGGATAGGAACTGTGCTCCCCAGCGCCACAAAAAGAACTGCAGGAGAAGACGACTTTTGAAGAAAGATTGTCTGAGTTGTTCTGTGTGTTGTTGCCCTCATGACATCCCTGTCTGTAACCATTTATCACTGAGACATTCTCTCATCAGCAGACAAAGGATATATTCCCTACTTGATATGTAGGACTTCGGCTGCTTAGCCCTCATGAATGTTAATGGGACTACAACCTTCTTTCTGTCTATAGGTTATTTTTCTTATTTTAATGTCAATAGACAGCGGAATTAATGTGAGTCAAAGTGATAGATTTCAAGCACCTCTATAGGACCAATACCTGTATCCTTCATATAAACAACTTTCTCAAAGATATCTGCATGCTCTTGAATCGTTATTTGTATTTCACAAGGATGCAAATATTAAGCTTTTTATAAAAATGCAAGAATAGGGTTATATTTTATTATTAGAATATACAAAAGAAGCGGTGAGCGTGAATTTTGGCGAAGTTCCAGAAAGCTGGCCAGTTGGAACAAGCATTTTGTCTTTAAGAAAAAGGATGTCCCCAGTGCTCAGCAGAGCCAAAAGGATTTTTAGTGCTTCAAAATCTTATCTGACACAGTTTCTGTTAAAAGGCTATAGATGAAATAATATGTAATTTCTAGGAATATGTTTTAGTGACTAACGTTTAGTTTTTGTAAGTTGCCCCAGAATAGAAGTTGTACTGAAGTGAGAGTGTAAATTGATGCATCCTGTTAGGCAGTATGTATCAAAATTAGAAATGCAATTGACTGAACTATTACATTGCTAAGTAATTACCTTAGATTTACTTACAGATACACATATGTAAGATTTAACAGATATGTTCAGGAATGTTTGCACAGCAATAGCAAAAATCTAAAAACATTCTAAATGTTTATCAGTAGTTGACTGATACTTCTGGTACATTAAAACAATATAATGTTATACTTGGGTTCAAAAGAGTGAAGTTAATCTGGCATTTGCTGATTTATTCATTCATTTACCTAAGAAGTTTTTGTTGAAGAAAAACAGTGCTTAAAAAGACAAATTCCACTTACTTGTGGAGCTTGAATGACTAAAGCATATAGAACTTTAAAATGTTTTTAGTCTATTTTCAGAAGAAAAGATAGGACAGGAGGTATGATGTTATTTCTATGGAATAAAATTTTAAATAAGCATCTCCCATCCTACCCCCCGTACCCTGCCGACACACACACATACACATTCACACACACACACATGCAGAGAGATGCATTTAATTTTTCCATTTGGAAAGTTACTCAAGGAATTTTAACAGTGGCTGAAAAGGACTAGACATGGCAGGGGAGTAGGCAGGAGATTTTGCCTTTTCCTCTTAGAACTTTCTATATAGATTGAATTTTTATTACTACATGCTTTTATTATTATATTAAGAATTAACACATTTTATTTTTAAGTAACTGGACTTGTTTATCTGGAGCTAACCTATAATTAACCATCCATCTCTTAGTCATTCCTGAGTCTGTTTGTACTTTGTATTCAAGTGGCAAATGTCTGGAGAAAAGAACCAGATCAATTCTCTCATAAATCAAAAAATGAAAGGGTAACAAAACATTGAATTCTTTTTACATGTCTTCTTGATTTTCCTCTTTCTGATTTCTTTCAACCCTGCTCTTTTACTCTCTCCTCCTTCCTATTATTCCTATTTCTATCCTCTTAGCAGCCTTTTCTGTCCAGTTTCTACTTTTCAGAAGCAGAACTAGAAAGAACTGTTGGACAATAAGGAAATACTGTAAGTAATCTGAAATGAAGTTAAATTGGATTATGGAGTGAAACTTTTAAAAAACAAACAAACAAACAAAAACCTCCTACATCTCTGATCTTCAAATAACCTATGTAGAGAGAAAATTATTGTGTCTTTTCTCTCGAAGTCTTGGAAAAAACCAGACTGGATGATTTGGATATGTTCTGCTAGCATATGTACTACGTGACCTCTCTAGCTGCCTTTAATCCTGTGATTTTTAAACATAGTGATTATTGTAATCATGGCTTTGCCATAATGTGGACAAAAGAAGAGTCACGTATGCTTCAGGAATCCAAAGCTGTTTATAAATGCTAGTAATTAATTCATGGATCCTAAACATGACTTGAAAACAATCATCTTCACATCTTCATCCATGCAGACACGATGAAAACTAGCCTCACAAATACTATCCTTACACTCTTTAGCTAGGTGATTGGTACACATAGAAAGGAACAGTTACATATTTATATTTAAGTAGACTGTAATTTGAAATGCTTTGTTTCCCATGGTCTTTATAATCACTACTGTCACATAGATCAGTGCAGGTGAATTCCCCCGGAACCTTCATCCTGCTTGTTTCTGTGCCTACTTCTTCAGAGATTTAAGATGATAAGACAGAACGTAATTAAGTTCACTAAACCAAAGGAAAACCTGAGGCATGACCCAGTCTATGGAATTGGGTAATGGTAGATAGTGATAACCCAGAAGTGGAGAGCAAGTCAAAATGGAGTACAGAGAGTAGACATCCAGTTTGATTTCTTAGGCCTTCAGCACTGCATTCACAGAGACAGGAAAGCTAGCGAGTGGGGAAGAATAAAAAGAATGGAAGAGGCAACAGCATCTTCTCTTTCTAGTCTAGGCCTTTCCAGATAGAGACCACTTCTGTGACCATCCTCAGCTTAGTCAACACTGACAAAACCAAAAAAGAATTTCAAAAGCAAAACTTCCGTGCTCAAAAAATAATAATAGTGAGGTGTATATGCATACCTAAAATGAAGGTAGTTGCTTATCTGACAAAATATAGACAGAAATTACATCTATTCATTCAACAAATGTTAATTAAGCAGCAACTGTGTTTCAAATCCTGCTTTAATAAAGCACTAGGGACATGCAATGAACAAACCCAAATCTTTGCCCACGTGGAGCGTATATTCTTGTGATGAAAGATAAATAAATGAAATTGTGTTAGATGGTGGTAAGTGAATGGAGGAACACTCAATAGGGTAGGAGCTGCAGTGTTTTGGGTTGGGGGAGAGTCTCCACCCTATGAAAATTCTCTCTCCCTGAGAAAGTAGCTGTGCCTGGAGTATTGGAGGAACAACAAAGATACCAGCATGGCTGGAGCAGATTGCCGAAGGAGGGAGCCTTAGGAGAAGAGGTCAGAGGGAGCCAAATGGGATAGGACTCTATCGGCCATTGCAAGGACTTGAGCTTTCGCCCTGAGCAAGACGGGAAACCACTGGAGGGTTCTGAGCAGAGGAGGTCATCATCTACCTTTTAAAAGGATCCCATAGGAAAGTGAGGGCAGCAGCAGGGAGATCAGTTAGGAGGAAACTGTAGTAATTCAGGCAAGAGGGAAGATGTCTCAAATTAGAGAAAAACATCAAATATCACATTGATGTGGATTAAAAATACTTGATTTAAGAATTTTTTTTTGAAAACCCCCGACTCTATGAGGATGCTCAATTTTAGTTTTAAAGATATTTTTCACTAGTTCCTTCTTGCATACTTTGATTAATGACTCTATACCGGGGCCTCTTTTCCCCATTAATTCTAAATAAGCCAGATTTACCACTGTAGCAATTGTTGGATCTAAGTAAAGTTTCCATTCCGCCCTCTCACCATGTTTTCTTTTATTTACAGTTAAGATTGAGCTGAATTTTTTCCCCTTCTTCCAAGCCTTAATCCTATCTGGCTTCTAAATCCCTTCAGAATTATTTGAAGCAAAGAATGCCTGCTGATTTCAAAGAAGATTTTACACTTGGACTTACTCGGTGGGGTATATAAGCAAGGGTCGTGGAGGCTTCCTTCCTTTCCATCCAGAACAATGTGTTTGGCAATGATACACACTGATCAATGAGCAATCTGTTAGTAAGAAACATACAAAAGCTCATTTCTTTGATTTGTTGTTTTGAAAAATACTTATTTTTGTTTGGAGTATTTTTCAGTTTAAAATCTAATCTGTTATTTTGTAGAATAATCAATTTATATTAGTTGAAACTTGATTAACTTTTCTTTTATTACCCTGTCCTTAAGCTCATACTACAGATTTGGTTATATATCGCATAACAATATAAATGAACACTTGTTTTATAAAGATCTCAAATTCTATTGTCTCAATCATTTCATTGAAAGATAAATATTACTACACCAATCTTCTAAGGAAAATTTCTTGTGTGTTATTCCTGGCTTTGGACAGGATAATGTTTATAGGCTTTGTATTTAATGCTGATGCAATAGAAGGCATATTTTAAAAGAATCGCTTTTCTGTATACAAATATTAGGATTGCTTGTAAGGCAAAGACATAAAAGCATTACATAATCTATTCTAGTAAAATAGAGATGTTAGCCCTTTGACTGTATTTGGTTTTAGCAACTGAACAGAATAGTTTCAAAATGAGTATGGTGAAAATAGACAAAGGATTTATAGTAAGTTTTTTCCCCCTGCTCTGTGTTACCTCTCATGAGCCTTGTTCATTTTTTTCTCAATATCTGCCATTACTCATTAAAATTCTAGTTTCATAAAAACTACAAGTAGAGACTGCTGTTGCTGGTTGTATGTGTGTAATAAGAGCACTCAAATGCATTGCTAAAGGACTGGAAAACAACAAGGAGATTATGATAAGAATGGTAACCACCACTTCCAACATGTGTAAAGTTAAGGCAGTCTGTGCAAAACTGACATTTTGATAACTATACAAGCTGTTGTCAAAGTATGATCTCAGGACCCCTGCCAATCCTCAAGACTCCTTCGTAGGGTCCTCAAGTATTTTCACAATAATTCTAAGAAGTTATTTGCTGCGTTCACTGAGTTATCACTTGCGTTCAAGTTATTCTTGTACAGCCATAGGAGATGAGCCCATAGGGAGTCAAATGGAATAGGACTTTGTTAGCCATTGTAGGGACTTGGGCTTTCACTCTGAGCAAGACAACAAACAACTGAAGGCTTCTGAGCAGAGGAGATTATCATTTACCTTTTAAAAGGATTTTATAGGAAGGTTAGGGCAGCAGCAGGGAGATGAGTTAGGAGGCAACTGCAGGTCGGGTGCAGTGGCTCACGCTTGTAATCCCAGCACTTTGGGAGGCCGAGGCGGGCGCATCACGAGGTCAGGAAATCGAGACCATCTTGGCTAACACGATGAAACCCCATCTCTACTAACAACAACAACAAAAAATGCAACAAAAAAAAACTTAGCTGGGCGTGGTGGCGGTCGCCTGTAGTCCTAGGTACTCGGGAGGCTGAGCCAGGAGAATGGCGTGAACCCAGGATGTGGAGCTTGCAGTGAGCCGAGATCGTGCCACTGCACTACAGCCTGGGCGACAGAGTGAGACTTTGTCAGAAAAAAAAAAAAAAAAGAGGCAATTGCAGTAACTCAGGAAAAAGGGAGGTTGATTCAAATTAGACAGGAACACCATATACCACTTTAAAAATGTTACTCGATTAAGCAGTAAATATATATTTATTGTATTAAGTCTCACTCCTGGAGGCAGGATACAGTGGCTCACACCTGTAATCTCAGCACTTTGGGAGGCTGAGGTGGGTGGATCACCTGAGGTCAGGAGTTCAAGACCAGCATGGCTAACCTGGCAAAACCCTGTCTTTTCTAAAAATACAAAAATTAGCTAGGCATGGTGACACACGCCTGTAGTCCCAGCTGCTCGGGAGGCTGAGGCAGAAGAATCGCTTGAACCCCAGAGGTGGAATTTGCAGTGAGCAGAGATAGTGTCACTCCACTTCAGCCTGGGTGACGGAGTGAGAGTCTGTCTCTCAAAATAAATAACTCTCAGTCCTTGAATATATGTTTTATTATTCTTTCTTACGAAACAGGAAATGCACATGAAGTTCTTCTGCTGCATATCAAAGTAATACGGTTGTCTGAGAAAAAAAGTCTGGTGGCCTTGTTTGAGTTGGGAACTGAGCAAATCGTTTTTGTCAAACGACACTGTTTTTAACATAAAGAATGACTGACAGAAAAACTATGGTTGGCTGGGAACAGTAGTTCATGCCTGTAATTTCAGCACTTTAGGAGGCTGAGGTGAGAGGATCAATTGAGCCCAGAAATTTGAGACCAGCCGGAACAACACAGGGAGACTCTTCATCTCTACAAAAATAAAAAATTTTAAAAATTAGCTGGTCATGGTGGCGCATGCCTGTGGTCCCAGCTACTCGGTAGGCTGAGGCAGGAGGATTGCTTGAAGCTGGGAAGTTGATGCTGCAGTGAGCTGTGACCATGCCACTGGATCCCGGCCTGGTTGCTAGACCTTGTCTCAAAAACAACAAAAAAACCAAATATGATCAATAAGACTTGGATATTTGATGGACATTTTCTTGAAAATGAGCAAAGCAAGCCAGTTACTTCCAAAAAAAAAAAAAAAAAAAAAAAGACCATAGTAGCTACCATTGATAAAACTCAAGTTCTCAAGCAGAAATTAGATTTTTAGAAAATGTTTATTGCCTCTATGAGAGTTGGCAGCTTCCCAAAACTATAAGGATTTTGTGATGAGATTAGCGGTGATATTAATAATGTAATTTTTCAAATATCGTATATATTGAAATTTGTCAAGACTTGGAACTTGTGCATAACTCAGGGAACAATATTTTCCAAATAATGTAATGTAAAATGCTAAAAAATCATGCACAGATAAAAGATCCATTCAAAGTGTTAAGGCCAAGGATTTTAATGTGGCTGATTTGAAGCATAAAAGCTTACTGCTATGGTCTTATAAACCAAAAATTGACAGAGGTAAATCTAATTGAATAGAGGTTTATTTTGCCAAGATTGAGGATGTGCCTAGGAAAAAGAAACACAAGTTACAGTAAGATCTGTTACTTGTACTTTTTCCAAAGAGGGTTTTGGAAACATCAATATTTAAAGTGTAAATAACAAGCAGAAGGGAAAGAAAAAAGAAAAAAGAGGATGGATAGGCAATGAGGGAAGTGGTTACATTGTTATAACCACTTTGATTAGCACTCAGTGAATCTGTGTTTTACATGCAAAAAGGAGGAGGTAGATGAAAAGTCAGTTATGCGTTCCTCTTGTGCTCCCTAAGTTTAAATTTTACACAAGATAAAGTAAGCATGCGAAATGACAGCTCTCTGTTGGGACAAAAAAGGAACGCAGGTTTTGTGTCACTCAGTTCCCTAACTTTGCCTTGGGCATAGTGAGTTTGGGGTCCTGAAATTCCTTTTTTCCTTCACAGCTTCAAATGCTACATTGCAACTTACCTTTAGGAAGCTATTAGTGAGTCTTGGTATAGTATCAAAGAAGAACATTCACAGTTTTCTGAAAAACTATTAAAATATTTTCCCTTATCCCAACCATGTATCTGTATGAGGCCAGATTTTTCTTTTATCTACTTCAGCCAAAACCACATATAGCAACAGACTGAATTTGGAGCAAATACAAGAATTACTGGTCATTGCAACTAATAAATGACTTAAGTAAAGTTGTAAGATGCAAGATACACACACGCACAAAATCACTAGTAGTTCTGTACACTAACAACGAACAATCTGAAAAAGAAACTAAGATTGTAATAGCATCAAAAAATACTTAAAATATACTTTTATCAAGAGGTGTAATATTTGTACGCTGAAAACTACAAAATAATGCTGTGGGAAAATAAAGAATATCTATGGAAATGGAAACACATGATGTGTTGATGGATTGGAAGAATTAATATGCGTAAGATGGCAATGCTCCCTACAAATATTTACAAATTCAATGTAATTCCTATCAAAATCTTACTGGCCATTTTTTTATAATTGAAAAACTGATCCTAAAACTCGTATCAAAAGCCGAAGATCCTGAATAGTCAAAATACTCTTGAAATAGAAGTACAAATTTGGAGGATACACACTTTTGAATTACAAAACTACAATAATCAACAGTGTGGTTCTGTGTCCGGCATTGGTGGGTTCTTGGTTTCACATACCTAAAGAATGAAGCTGCAGACCCTCGCAGTGTTACACTTGTTAAAGACAGTGTGTCCAGAGTTTGTTCCTTCAGACGTTCACCCAGATGTGTCTGGAGCTTCTTCTTTCTGGTGGGTTCATGGCCTCGCTGTCAGGAGTGAAGCTGCAAACCTTAGCGGTAAGTGTTACGGCTCCTAAAGGCAGCGCGTCCTGAGTTGTTTATTCTTCCCAGCGGGTTCCTGGTCTCATGGGCTTCAGGAGTGAGGCTGCAAACCCTCGCGGTGAGTGTTACAGCTCATAAAGGCAGCATGGACCCAAAGAGTGAGCAGCAACAAGACTTATTTCAAACAACAAAACCACAAAGCTGCCATGGCCTGCAAAACCACCCAAGCCTGTTCGGGCGGCGCTGGGGGGGCGGGGGGGGGGGGGGGGGGCTGCTTTGATTCCCTTATCTGGCCCCACCCACATCCTGCTGATTGGTCCATTTTAGAGTGCTGATTGGTCCACTTTACAGAGAGCTGATTGGTCCATTTTGACAGAGTGCTGATTGGTACGGTTACAATCCTTGAGCTAGATACAGAGTCACAGAGGCCTAGTTAGCTAGATACAGAGTACCGATTGGTGTATTCACAAACCCTGAGCTAGACACAGAATGCTGATTGGTGTATTCACAAACTCTGAGCTAGACACAGAGTGCTGATTGGTGCATTTACAATCCTCGAGCTAGACAGAGTGCTAGACCGAAAAGTTCTCCAAGTACCCACTAGGTTAGCTAGATACAGAGTGCTGATTGGTGCACATATGATCCTCCTGCTAGATATAAAAGTTCTCCAAGTCCCCATCCAGTTCAGGAGCCCAGTGGGCTTCACCCAGTGGGTCCTGCACCAGGGCTGCAGGCGGAGCTGCCTGCCAGTCCTGAGCCATGCCTGCACTCCTCAGCCCTTGGTCTGTCGATGGGACTGGGGGCCACAGAGCAGGGGCGGCGCCCATCAGGGAGGCTCGGTCTGTGCTGGAGCCCGCTGCAGGGACTGAGCCCGGCTGTGCCGGCGGGCTGGCACTGCTGGGGGACTCTGGGCAAACTCCGCAGCTGCTGGCCCGGGTGCTAAGCCCCTCACTGCTCTGGGCCGGTGGTGCTAGCCGCCGCTCCGTGTGCTGGCCGGCGGAGCGCCTACCCACGCCCACGCACACGCCCGCCGGAACTCGCATTGGCCCGCGAGCGCTGCGCACATCCCAGTTCTCGCTAGGGCCTCTCCCTCCACACCTCCCCGCAAGCTGAGGCGGCTCTGGTCTCAGCCGGCCCAGAGAGGGGCTCCCACGGTGCTGTGGCGGGCTGAAGGGCTCCTCAAGCGCCATCAGAGTGGACTCCGAGGCCGAGGAGGCGCTGAGAGTGAGGGCTGCTAGCACATTATCACCTCTCAGTTCTGTCATAAGGGTGTTTCATGGTGGCAGGTTTATGCAAGACTACCCTTAAAAGTCTGAGGAAGCTGAAAGGCCGAAGAAAGAAAATAAGGGCCAGTTTTTCAGAAATGAACATTTATTAACGATTTATGAAGATAACCATGTCTGTGTCTCAGGTGGTGGTGAGACAAGATGGTGGATACCAGCACCTTCA